TTTTTTTTTTTACGACTTAAGCTGTTTTTTCAACTGCTACTTGTTTTCAAAAAATACTGATGTTAACAATGCAGTTAGGAGTGAAGACTTATGGTAGGGTTTTAAACAGGTCGACAGTTAAAGCCAATAAAATTGCAAAATGTACCTGCAGCCAATGTGACATAGAAGCAAGTGGAAAGATGAAGTTCCAGTACTGCTAAGGGCGATTCGACGGACGGGAAGGGAATTTGAAGATACCTTGGCAAACAAACAGCATACAGTAGGTCAGATGCTAGCGTTATAATTCCTACACTACAAGCCATAGTGCCGAAATAGCGTGGTACAAAGCACAACATAGCTACTTGAATTAGCCAGCAACCGAATGCCGTCCTAAAAAACGTAATTGTTTATCAAGATTTTCGCAAAGTAGGCTTTTTGTTAAGGGTTTGTGCTAAGTAGTTGTTCCTTATTGCTTCGTTACAGGTAGCAGATAACATTGTCAGGAATCAGCAGTGTTTTACTCCGGACAATGAAAAAGCTTTGCATAGCGTGGTCCAGAAGTCGAGTAGTTTTTTTTGTTTTATTTATGCAGTTTAAACTTTCAACAAGGAACATAAATTGTTTTTATCATTTGCAACTCTTTTCTCTTATTAAAATTTTAATTCGAGATTCAAAAGCTGGTAAGAAAAAAAAATTTACCATAGTAAACAATATGTGTAGTATCCGCAAAGTCGATATTGTCTTCCCCATATAAAACCTCCTCGATCTACACTCAAGTATTCAATAACTTTTAAAATTGGGTATGGTAGACCTTTTCGTAAACTTTTTTCAAATTCTTCTTCCATAGAAACTCCTAAAACAAGCAAGAAATGAACATTAAGAAAGATTTTGTTGGAATAAAATTTTCAAAAGATTATTTTTGATAATTATATCTGCTAGGGTAAGTATAATAAATTCATTACAATTGTAAAAGTTTTTTTAAGTTGTTTATTTGTTTTTTGGATAAAAAATTGTTTTACAAATCGAAAACAGTAGTTAATTTTTACTGTTTAGCAATTCAACTCGTTCGTTATATTTTAAGCCAACAAATTTGTGATTTTTGTTGTCATCGGGTACCACACCTAAAGAACAGTAAATTATTTATTAGAAATTGTAAACCAAAGCCAATTTTTAGATAAACACAGTGGAATAGTCAGCGATGGAGCACAATAACAACCCAACGAAAGTTTAGAGCTTTCTTACGGTTAGGTTTAGCAAATTTAATCTAAGTTGTGATATTGGACGGTTTTTGAATTCTACGCAGTGTTTATTGATGTAAATCATTTTTGTTTTGGAAATTGTCTCGTAATTTTTAGGCAGTTGTCATGTTTAATTTTTTAACAAGCTAGGCAAAGCAGGGCAGCAACTAAACATACTTTTAAGTGTTACGTTGGCATTTTTGAGTCCCATCTTCAGACCAAGAATAGCATCTATTCGTTCTGAGCTGAAGGCTCTAAACGGAGCATAAATTCGGACTTCGCCCTCATGCCAACTGGGATGATAAAGCGATACTGAAATGCTGTCAATATCAATGCTGGCAAAAACAGTTTTCTTGTACAGTGCTTACTTAAATTTAGCAGAATTTGTTTAATATTCATACAAACAACAACTTAACGGGGAATCAAAAACAGAAACAAGTCAATCAGTTTATCAAGTCTAAGAATTCGTTGTCACATTTTTTTCCCTATTTTATTGTGCAGTTAAAAATATTTACAAAAGTAAAAAGAGTATATATGTATGTGCTGAAAAATGATTATTTAAAAATATTTTTTTTTATGAATAATAAGAGGAAGAATGAAAGATTTATAGTTTTATAATAATAAAATAGTTTAAAATTGCGTAAGAAATTTTACAGAAAATTTTTTCTGTTTTTATCGCTGTTACTGTCGCTATTATTAGCAATAGAGAAGAAAAATTTTTTTTTGAATAATAAAATTTCAGCATATACACATATATGAAAAAGTGGAATAATTATTTGATCAGTTTGATAAGCAATAAAGTTTCAGAACAAATGTGATGGAACAGTGTTCATTTGAGTTTTTTTTTTTTTTTCGCTGTATACATCTGTTGTAAAAATAATTGTTCAGTTTAAGAAGCAACTGAAAAGAAAAGAACAACAAAATGTGGATGATTTGTTACGACAGCAATTAAACTTTTGTTAATTGAATTAGTATTATCAACTAATTATTATAACTAAAGACAACAGAGTTCAGCAATCAGTTAGCAGACAAAAATACTTCAGATATATGTTACGCTGTCCATCAAAAGTCCATCAAACACAGAGGATTGCTGACAGCTGTTGTTTGCAGTAACCTTCTGTTTTTGTGCTTTTTTTTTTGACTGCTTTAATCGTTAAGGTTTAAAAATTGAAAGAGAGAGTAAGCAAAAAAAAAAAAGACGAACTTATAGAATTTAGGTACTAAAAACAATTCAAAATTTTGTTGAGCAAAAACAATAGTTTTAGCAACATCTCTTTTTTCATGTTTTTTGCATTTTAATTCAGTAAAATTACACTAAAATTGGTAATCATTTATTATGCGATCTTTGTGCAATTATCAGAATTTATTAGTGCAAAAAATAAATAAATTAATTAATTAAATCAAATAACGATAAAAGGCGAATGAAAAAAATGACGTTAAATATTCGATAAAATAAATTCTACAAATAAAGAAACAAATATCAAGTTTTTTTTTTTTTTTTTTCTGCTTTGATCACTGAAGTAAAGTTATATCAATCAGTGGCTACTAAAGTTTAAATTTTTTTTTTCTGCAATTTACAATTATCGATAATAATTTTCTAATATTTATGATGAAAATTGTTAAAATTATTACAAA